TTGGAAAAGGTGCAGTTGTTGCTCGAGGCTGGAGCTGACGTGAATGCTGCAAAGGCAGATGGGGCAACAGCTTTGTTTGTTGCAGCTGAGAATAGCCGCAACTCGGAAGTGGTGCGGTTGTTGCTCGAGGCTGGAGCTGACATGAATGCTGGTGCAACCGCCTGAATGCCTGCGGACCACCATGACCACTGAAAGTGTGGGCGACTGGCACCGTTGCTGTCCCAAGGCTGTCCAGGGTGACCAAAGACGAAGCCGCTGTGGATTAAGAGAACCTTGGGTCCTTCGTGAGTCGTTGCGATGCTGTCCACACCATATATTCTTAAAGCAGAACGCATCAGAGTTCGCCCATGAATCACTGCACGAGCTCGCCCACGAATCTCCAAATAGATAGCTTCCCCACGAATCGCCCGATGTCCCGATGTTCTTCACCTGCCGCGCCGAACCTGATCGTCCCGGATCTCGCTTTCGGTTCTGCTCGTTCGAGGCTTCGGATTGTCAAGACCTCCCCTTAGCCAGAGCCTTTGGCCCAGCAGTTCTGGAGGCGAAACTTCCGTTTCACGCGGGGCTGCCCTCGAACGGGCGGAACGGAACGGCGCGTCGCGGAACGGCGCAGCACATGAATGTATTGGGATTGTTTGGAATTTTGATTGGCCGAATGTTCTTTGACATGGCAACTGTTTTTAATAGAAGTTGGTAGATGTCATGCTCAACACAGACAATTGAAGTCTTGTTTCATGCCCATTTGGATCCTACAAGGAAACCACGGGTTTTGAAGGAGCAGAGTCTTGAGTGGCTGGCAAATGAGGCCATGCTGATGCACATCAAAAGAATTCTGGCCATTGAGATCAGAGTATATGCGCCTGCGTTCAACTAGAAGTCTGCCCTTCTGACAGAGAGCTTCTGACTCTCTGCCCTTGTTTGAAACGGTTGACGAGCGTTGATTCCGTGCCTTTGGGCGCGGGGCGGACTTCGGCTCCGGAGGTCACTCTCTATAGAGAGGGGGAGCAGCCAGAAAGACCCCATGTGAGTCCGTCGTCGTCCGGAGACCGACGGAGCTGAGATGGAGCTTTCGGAGCGACCGACGGACCGACCTCTCCCTCTCCAAATCGCAAGTGACTCAGCTTCGATCGTTCAGTCAGGGCCTTCCGGCTCCGCGGGGGGTCGCCCAGCTGTCGCCGTCGGGCCGGGAGAGGACCGGTCGGGGCGGGCGCCGGTTGGGGCGGAAGGTGCTGGACAACGTGGTGACACTGCGGGATCACTTGCGGCAGCTGGACGGTCGAGGCGCGGGAAGAGGAGGAGGAAGAGGAGGAGCTGGAGAACCTGGAGGAGCTGGGTTGGTGGAGTGGGAGACCCTGAATGGATTGATTGATTGATTTCAGGGCTTTGGCGTGGAAACTGTGGAGTGGAGGGAGAGGAGTGTTAGGTCCTGGCGTCGGGTCGCGCACGAAAAGAAGAGCTGTTGGGTCGGGTCGCCAACAGACGCGTCGAACGTTTTGCCAAACGAGACCTGGAGGGTCTCTGTTGACCGTGCCAGATGAGTGTGAAGAATCGCCCAGGATGACCGTTTTCAGTGAAGTGAAGTTGGCCCACTTGATACACCGTTGGCCTTGCCAAATTGAATGTGAATTGGACAATGAGAATTCGGGGTGGGTATATGAATATGTCCAATTCTTGAATATGAAGATGAATTGGACATTGGACAACATGAATTGATACACCCGGCCCACCACTTTTGATAAAATAATTGACCAATTTGTCCTTGCCTTGCTTGCCCTCAACCAGCTGCAAGTGACCCATGATTGGCTTTGATGCTTGTGGTTCCCCTGTCGTAGAATAGATGGAGAAGATTTGGAGATTTGGATTTGGACGATCGGGATCAAGCGGGTGCACGAATGCCCAATGCCGATGTGTCCGAATTGGACAAGCTAGGATCCAGATAAATGTTAACCTCGAACACCCCTCAAAACACCATCATCCATGCTCCATCCTTCGATCCTTCTTCAATTTCTTCTGGGTTGGTCGTGGATGCCCAGAAGCTCGCGGATGCCAAACCCCTTCGATTCGATTCGTTCACGTGGGATGTGGGGGGTTGATCGCCATAGCATCACTAGTATGGTACTCCGGCTGCTCGCTGCACCCAGGGCTTGATCGTCATTTGTTCCCCTGCCGATGGGTTGAAATGGACACTGAGAGCTATGCCAGAAGAGCAGGAGACGCGCCGCGCCCGCGCCGTACCTGGTCGATCTGGAAGACAAGACCATCACCGAAGTTGGGACCCTGGATCTTCCGACCCCAGACCATCCATGGGATGCAGTTGCTGTACCTATATACATTATATGTATTTTTAATTGGCTGCAGCTCTTTCATACATGGTCTGGGAACTCTGGGAACTGTGCAAAAGTCTCTTCAGCTATATATCCAGCCGACATGGTGCATAGTTGAAAGATCCTGGTTTGCTTTTCGGGTGAATGTTGGATGTGTCCTATGAGTCAATAAGTGAATCCCCTAACTTGTGTCATGATTTGGTGTTTTTCTTTTTGTGGCTTCCTGAATCCAAAAAGCAGCCAATCATGAAAACTAGATTCCAAAAAGGGTGCTTCATGGAGATATCGGGGCGAAAGGCCTGCTCCTGCTCCCGATTTCTGCGACTCAATGCGCCACAGGAGGCTGGTGACTGGAACCAGGGACCAGTACAAGTACAAGTGGAGCTGCCTTTTTTCATCGAAGAACTGTCCGACATATCTTGCAACAGTACTTTTTTGCCATATATGCCCTTGTTGTGATCGTTTGGGCAACAAAAAATGACTAGAACTCAATGTGTTTTGGAATATGCTATATATGTTCAATGTGTGCCAAACAAAAATGTGCGATGGACCTTTTTGGTAAAGATTTTTTGCCATGCGAACGCACCCAAAAGCGACCTCCTTGAGATGACTGCGGAGACCAGGACAGGCGCCACTCGAGAGTGGCTTGGCCGCAGTGCGAAGCGGCAGCGTGGCACACAGTGGATTGTTGGTTCATCAGCAAGGTCGCGGCTCACGCCAACCTACCTTCATTCCTTCATTCCTTCCTTCCTGGCATGATCTCCAGCTGTTTTTTTGATGCTGTCTTTGTGATTTTTTGGGGGGTCCGGTGTCCAGGCCCGTTGTTTTTTGCGCATGGCAGAGGGCATAGTCACAGCCAACGCCTGAATTGGATACGTTTCCATGCGGTGCGAATCCCTTTAGCACGGGACGGTGATCAGACTGATCCGAGACGTTTGGCTTCCGAAAGGGATCCCTTCCAGTGGGCCTTTTGGGAAGCTTGCGATCATCGCTGGACCACGATCTGGAGCCCACTTCGACATCGACGTCCGGGTGCGACATCCCCAGCTCTTCGGAAGCGGATGGGGATGTGTCGCTCGAGGTGGTTTCCGAATCGACCTCTTGATGTATTAGGGTCAAGGGTCATAGACTCATAGGGTCATAGGGTCAAACGTCATAGGGTCAAACACATCGGGCCAAATGGCACAAATTACATCAGAGTTTAATGGGGGGCATTGGGTGATTGGATGCTTCTTGGAATAGGAAAGCATGCACCGTGTCTGACCTGTCTAGTGAGACGTTGTGAATCCCCAAGCGATGGGGTTTTGGGGCACCCTGTCAGCAGAGGTTCGCCACGTTGCGGAGTTCAAGGTGCCTGTCCGGTCGCCGCGGTTCGCCACGGGAAGCGGAGTTCGGGTGGTTGAAGGCCATGGGAGGCCATGGGAGGCCGGCCATGAGAGGTATTGTTCTTCAGCGGTACAGACCAGTGTGGACCAGTGTGGAATGTCCACGATTCCAGTGTTTAGAGTAGCCTTGTTTCATCAATGTTCAAATTGAGGTGGGTTCATTGAAGAGCTGCACGGGTGATTGACATGGAACAGTTGAAAGTGAACTGCAGATTTGACATATACATGTTATTTTGTGGGGTGAGGGTGAGTTCCTCTTCATATTGGGTTGCTCCTGGTTCTTGAAGGCTTTCAAAGGCAAATTGACCTCGTTCAGAGATCCTACAACTGCAGGAATCTATGAGGATCACATGTTTTTCCAAGTTACCGAGCAAGACTTTTTTTTTGATGAAAAGAATCTGCACCACCTCCAACTGCACAAACACTGCAAAAGACATGCAAACACAATCAAATTAATGTTCTTACCCTTCCAGTGGTTGACAGACTGTGTTTCTCAACCATTCCTTTGAAGAAGTCGACCCAGCTGGGCTCGGTGCAAGTCCACCCCGACGCTCGTCTTCCGAACCGAACCCGAAGTCCTGCGGGCGAGGTCTGGACTGCTGCGCGGTGTACCACGGCTGGGCGGAGAAGCGTGGCGCCCCAGTGGAGCTGCAGTGCGCGCGGGCGCTTTGCGGTCCAAAGTACTTCGACCCTGGTTGAAATCCCTTGGGACTTGGGGACTGGACAGGTGCTGCAAGGATTTGATGAAACCTCCATGCAAAAGATCTATGTTGACCAGGTGACCATGATCCATTGTTACAGCGAAGGGAACCTCTCCAACTGTGGGTGCCTTTGACATCAACTATGGGCTGGAGGACGTGAGCCACATCCAGTTCTGACATTTGGCTGTCCTACTGACTGAGCTTGGCATCCGGAATGACCAATGGCAGCGTTTTCCAAGTTACCTCCGATGCTTCCTTGCTTGCATTGGTGGGTTCAGTAAGAACGCCAAAGAAACAGGGCAACGCTACCTGGCTGTCGCACTGTGACATCATGTGCCTCAGTTTCAAGCAAGTTGCCGCAGTTCTGTGCTTTTCACTTGGGCGAGACTACATCGATCTTTGTTTGCTTGGATGGAAGATTGCACAAACAAAATTTCACCCCTGGTGGAGCGTGTGAAGCTATTATATCTTAAACAGCTAATTCTTTTAGGCATTGCTTTGCAAAGGCTTCAATCACTGTGCTTGTGCATTTGCCAGCAGAGAGAAAATGTCGACACGCGAAAGCGGTTGTTTCGACCCGCATGCGCTGCCGACCAATTTGGACCGATTCTGGACGTTCTTGAGCCCCTAGTCCCTACTGGCAGCGCTTTCCAAGTTACCTCCGATGCTTCCTCGCTTGCATTGGTGGGTTCAGTAAGAGCGCCAAAGAAACAGGGCCACGCTACCTGGCTGTCGCACTGCGACATCATGTGCCTCAGTTTCAAGCAAGTTGCCGCAGTTCTTTGCTTTCTATTGAATCCATGCGCCAGCAAATCATGTCTCATGATCCAGAGCAGAACGTCATGTCGAGTCACAACAGCTGAAGAGTCATGTCAAAGGCCTCGCTATCCATGATGATCAACCCTGGGGCCATACATGGACATACCCAGTGCACAGAAAAACCGCCCGAGTTTGAAGTGTTTTTTTCACTTCAAGACGGGAGGAGTCAGTTCGGAGTCGATCTGTCAGTCGCCACGGGTCGCGTCTGGGTCACTGGGTCGGGTTCAAACGGGTTCGGCGATCGGCGATGGGCGACTGTGAACGGTGCAACCGCGGTGAGGAGGCGATCACCATCATTTCTGGACACGAGGGGTTGACCTGATGACAAAACAACAGCACAGAGATAGCGCTATCCACGCGCATCCGCAGAAGGTGCGGCTCGGAAAGATGTTGGAACAGTTCACCCATGTTCACCCTATTTCACCCCTCAGCACGATGAGCACAAAAACCGTTTTTGGACCACGATGCATGGACCATCTCCCATCTCACTTCACATCTCCTGACCCTTGAGTCCCTTGAGGTTGGAATACTTCACCAACATCTCCTGGCCATTTCCTTGTGACTGCGGCGTTCGGCCCCTCAAAGGAGGGCGATGGACGATCCGGGCGACCATGTGGTTCGCGCGAGCGATGTGGTTCGCGCGAGAGGCGGTGAGGCGGATGTGGTGGAGGCTCTCCAAGGGCCTCCAAGTGAAGGCTCAGAGAAGAACCCACTTCTGCCATGGTGGCTGGATTTGGAGCGCCCCACTGCTTTGAAAGGTGAATGGTAGCAGCATGCAACTTGAAAAGCATAACACTTAGATGATCTTAGATCCAAACCCTAGTACCAGGAGTCACAAAGGAGTGGTGTTTGGTTTGGTCCCATCCAGGGGCCGTGGATGTGATGTGATGTTCTGGACACCCCAACTTCCATGGAGTCCGCACCCCGTGACGGTTGTGAGAAGGTACTACTGGATTTTTAGGGAGTGCCCAGAGGCTCATGGACCCTGACTGCTGGTCTGATGTATTTCAAATTGTACATGCCCAAAACGGTTGCAACCGCTCATGCGACCGCTCAGACCGACTTCGGGGGGATTCGAGGTGGGCGCTGCACTGGGCTGTGTGCCCCGTGGTGATCTTTGTGTACACCAGGTGCGAGTAACGTGTTTTCTTGAAACCGCACAAAACGGTGGGATGAAATGAGAATCGGAAACGCCTTCCTTTTTGGCTTTGCTCAGGAATACAGACCAATCTTAGATTGTGTTTTGTAGAGGAAGAAATATCAAGGATGGATGATCAACCAGAATTGATCCTCATTACTAAATCATAAGAAATCAATGAGAATCGATAAACAATAATTTGATTAGGAAATATGACAGACCATTACAACATTGATTTGTCAGGACGATACCGATAATGAAATCGAAATTGAAATATTACAAACGTTGCAAAATATTGATCTTAGAAAATTCTTTTAATTCAGATTCTATAAATATACCTTAACTATTGTTTTAATGGTCTTGGAAGGCTGGGAAATATATATATATTATATTATCGAATTATTCTTGATATTAAAAGGTATATAGATAAAATAAAATATATAAAATATATATTTGAAAATTTAGGCAATGGACGCGATAATTGGATTTTTATATTTAATTTTATAATTATATGTAAATTTGTTTTATATTAATATTTTTTGGAGCATCGAAGAAAGTTATATTTTTGGAGCATCGAAGAAAATTATAAAGTTCTGATCATTTATACGCATTTCTTTTGTCGTTTTATTGCGTGTGATTAAATTCTAATATCGAAATTTAAGTTTAATGGGTGTTCGAGCATTATAGATTATGTAATTGATTTTGGAACGTATTTGGCATGGTATTGGGAGCAATTGAATTCGGAGTTGGCTCATTTAAGTGTTAGGCTTATATGGGGGGGCGTAATTCATGAAGATAAACGATGAAATGAAAGATAAAATGATGCGAAAGTTGGTAGACTATATTATGATTTTTTTGTAAAAAATAAAAGGTGGCAGGATTAAAGCATAATTGGAATAAAGTAAGGGATTTATTGTATTCGGTAACTAATAAAATACATCTTAGGATCTATATATATAATAAAAGCTTCGTTGAAAAAATACGAAGGATTACTTCCATAATAAATTTTTGCATATTAATTAAATTTAATGCATATTATATTTATACATATAAATATAATTAAATTTCTTCAAATAGTTTATTAAAATCTTACGATTAATAAAATTATAATATATAAAATATTTATATACGAGCGGACTCTAAACACGACCCTTCCGATTAACAAATCACAATAATCTTAACGACTTCCGAATTAAATCGAATTAAATAAAATTCTATAAAAGATTCGAAATAATTAAAAATAATATACAATATATATTTTAAATACCTTAATTAATAAAAATCATATAATACATATAATTCTTGAATAATTTTATTTGCCCAATTATAACCTATAAACAAATGATTATCCATAATTAAAAGAAAAATATCGATTAAAGTAAATCTAAACTCCTGGCAAGGGTTATGCGCTTCGATTTTTATAGTCCTCGGTCAATGTTAAATGGAAGCAGAGACGAAGAGCTGCTGCGCATGTTGGCTCGCCTATCCTTGAGACAGGAGGGCACCTTGGCACAGTTGAGCCTCGACAAGAGCTACATATTCTTCGTTCAATGTGGTCGAGGCAACATCATACCTAGTATGTTGACCAAGGATCGCAAATGGAACCAATTCAAGGAGAAGGGCGAGGTGACCACGCCGCTTCGGATGGCGATGTTTCTTCATTATTTTTAGGAGTTGGCTCAACGGACCAAGCAGTTGAAATTGGAAGCTAGCGACGACGCCTTGATTCAGAATTTGAGGTCAAAAGACCCAAAGGCATTTTGACGGAGGATCGTAAATGGGCTTCCTCCCATGGGACTCTCAGGCCATGATGCTCAAGCCCAACAAGCTCCAGCCTTTGATTTCAGAGGAAGTTCGATCCCTGCTGGAACGCATTGTCTATATCGGGCAGTAGCCCTCGGTAATCCACAAATTCTTAGCCTTATGTCCAGTGAACCAGGAGAATTTACCCCAGGATATTTCGGTAACAATTCCTTGGCGCTTTAATCTCAGCTTGCGTATTCTAGAATCGACGGAGATGTTCCAGTTGCTTTAGAAGCTGTTAGGCAATGGCATCACAGAATTGGTGCTCCTGAGGGTCAGATTAACGAATCTGTAGCGTTCTCCTTTAGCAAATGCCACTTCTCAACGATTGAGGAGATTATGAAGGCCATCCTTGCGGTTCGGCTGGGAGACTTAGGATGTACGTGCTACATTAATAGCGTTATTTTGGCACAAATATGGAGTTGTACGATGAATCAGATTTTCAATATAATCATTTGGCGAATATGGGAAAAGCAATTTTTGAACATGTTAGTTGAACATGTTGGGGCCGTTGTTGACCTATGTGTAAATCTTTTCTGGGGTTGTCCAAACGTAGGTCTCAATCGGCTCCCGAAATCCGCAAACGTTTCTCGCACGCACAGGGTCGTAGCTAAAGGGGTGCTCAAGGGCCCTGGATAGAAAATGGCCACATATTCGACATTAAATGAAAGTGAACCTGACAGAATGATCGAAAGCGAAAGCTGAAGTCAGATCGGTGAGAAAGGAAAAAAGAAAATCTGTACTCTGAACTTCAACCCTCGACAGGAAAACATTCAAAACATTCGGGCCCATGGCATCTTCTCTCAGTTCCTCAAAGCGTCCTCATAGACACTCACGTGCTCGTAAGCACCAGCACCCTCACGACTGAGTAGGCTCATTTCGCCTTTCTCATGGTCGTAGTGAACATGGGTTTGTTGGACTCTATCTCGAATTTCCCCACGTTCGAACCTGCGTCTTTCACGACGATGCGGATCCATCATCAACCGGTCATCGGCTGTTGACATGTTTTGTGCCTGCAGCATACGTGTCAGGGACTCGATCTTCACATCCTTTTCCTTCATGTCCATGTGGATCTCCAGGATCAGAGTGAAATGGGCATTCAAGAATCGATGCCATTGCTTGATCTCGGCCTCTCCAATCACCTCCTCATCACCTTTCAAAGTCAAATCCATGAACTCTCTTCGGCGAACACTTGGTAGGTGATGACCGACAACATGATTCCGCATAGACTGCGAAACACGATCAGTCCACAAAGCCTTCGACAGCTCTACCCACTTGGCCTGTCCACGTTCCAGAAGCACTTCATCATACAAACTTTGCCAGCGGTCCAACTCGTCTTGTGAACACACTTGCTGGTAAGGCTCATCGTTCACGATGTCTTCATCTTCAGTCTCTGGGTCATTCGCAAGGTCGCCATGGCTCACACCTACGGCTGGCGGCATGTCATTCGCAGGATTCAAGTCATTCCCGCAAATCATGGCATACCCTTGGTGGAACACATTCTTTCCAAAAAGGCCGACGGAGTGGAGGAAGTGCAAGACTACATGCAAAAAGCTGAAAAACCCAATGGTTGCAAATGCGCACAAAATCAAGAAGATTTGGCTCTGCTGTTCTGGGTTCTCCTCCTCATTCTTTGTCGCTTCAACGCATTCGACACTTTCCAATGCCAACACGGACATTGCACACAAAGCTGCCTTCTTCCACTCATCACCGCTTCTCCCTTTTCTGAACTGGTGCAGATAAAAATGCCTTCTCGAACAATACGCATGTTTCTCGTTGGCAGAATCACGCACCTTCTGACACCCGGGAAGACGGCATAGTCCATTTGCTTCTTTTGCGTTCTCATCTTCCAATTGGAACACTTGGCCATCAAAAAGGTTTTCTGCTGCTTGTTCCAACTCTTTCTCTTCACGATTCCTGGCCTCGATGGTCACCTTCTTCGCTGCTACAAAACCAGGGTCAAATCGAAGAGAATGAACTCCTCTGGACAAAACATGTGCCAGTGCATCTTTGGCGGCTCCCTTAGTGAGTCCGTCCGCCAACTGCTGCAAAGAGTTGCACCATCGCACCTTTGACAAAGAAGCTGCCAATCTTTCACGCAAAATGCAAATTTCGATAGCAGTGCGTCTTTCTGACAACTTGAGCCCTGAGGTCACTGCGGTCGTGCTGTCGAAAAGAGCTTTTGCATCTGTGATCACAGCTGATTCTCCGAACTTGTGCATGGTCTCGTCAAGCTGTATCTGGATGTAAGGATTGACCATTGCAGCAAAGAACACCTTGGTCCACTCTAATTCGTCCACAGCAATCGTCGCTGCCTGTGCTTCCGCCGACAAAGAACTCCGGCACATTCGAACCAACTTTTTGCTGGACCAATCAATGATGGTCAAAGGAAAAGGTTCTCCAGCATCAAGTTCTGCCTGGCTCGAAAGGAACATGAGCATTCCGCCTTGAGAGCTTCCATCCGGCCTCACTGACCATGCAGCATCGCAGTACAGGCTGATTCGCAACTGATCCAAGGTACAGTGGCAACGAATGGTGAACATATAGTTCTTGACAACCTCTTTCAAGAATCTCAAGCACTTGTTTGCCTCCAGTATGTCCTTGATCATTGGCTTGTTGAT